GCCCGCATATCAACGGCACGGGGATGGATGTAGAGACCAATGAAGCTACGGCGCGCAGGGGCTGGTGGTTACCCCCGGTAGCCGATTTCGCAGTTTTGATCGTCTTTTGCGTGTGCGTGATGCACTGAGGGGCTGCCGTAAGGGGTTGTGAACATTCAACTTTCAGCGCTCGGATCCGGGAAGGGCGGCAGTCCGTTGAGCACGGCGCTTCTGGGAAATCGGTTGATTGGTTGTTGCTACTTTTGGAAGTATCGATATTTCATGGAGCTTGACTGGAGTCTGAGCAGCGCTGACGTCGGCCAGCGTCTTTGAATGCGCCGAGTTGACTGGTGGCTGCGTAGTAATAACGAAGCACGTTGTTCTTTTGCATATCAGTTCTTCCCCCAGAGAATAATTATTCTCAAGGGAGGATTGTCGAACTGCCCCGTTTGCAAGACTTGCGTTTGCCGTTCCAGTACCAGCGAATCTTTCTAGTCGGGAGAAAGGACTAGCAAGCATGAATTCAGCCCGTGTACCCCTTTTTGTTTAATTCCTGCCCGTTTGTCACATCACATGCAGAGAGAGTCCAACTTCAGGAACAGCTGCACGAGAAGCTCCTGTCACGGGACCTTCTAAAAGAAGATAAAAAAACACTTGCTGGCTTAGATGTATAGGCTACGGTGTATAGGCAGCTAAAATCTACACCCATCAATATCTCCTCCACTACTAGGGGAAAAAGAAGAACCAAAGAGAAGCAAAAAGGAGGTGTTCAATATGGGTGAAATCCAACGGGCCAGGCCCGTTGGATGCTACCCATATTTCACGTTCCGCACTCGACACTATATTGAAGCGCTTGCAGCGTGACTGGCGGTAGCAGAAGAGCGGGGGCATCCCGACAACTCATGCAATCACCCTCCAACCCCTAACATAGCCACGTAGCTTGGCGAACAGTTAGTATCACTAACCGCGACATGTTACATTCAGCGTACTCGAGGAAGTCATCAGTTCCCATTTCATTGAGTCTTCCGATACTGGTAGTTTCAGGGGCCACTGGGTGGCTGGCTGGCTAGACGCTGCATGTGACTAGAAAGGGCAGCCGAGGTGTACACAATGTTCTATCGAGCTGAAAAGCTTTTCACGAAGAGCTACGATGGAAGATCGGCTTCCGAGCCCAATGGATGCGGGCACAGGTATCAACAGTAAAAGGATGTTGTCTTTAGCGTCCGTGGGAACGGAAAACACGAGCTACGCACTACATCTAAAACAACTGATGCGACTCCAGCTACTCGAGGAGTCGCATCTGTCCTGCAGCTCTTGGGTTCTAAAAGCGGTTACATATCTGCGTCTCTTTGCCGCCAACGCTGCGAACTATGTGCAGCGCTACCAATACTGGCTGCTGTCACAGTTGCAGTTACTCAGTTCCTTAACAATGACGGCTTCCCAATGCATCAAGATCCTCGATTTTGCTGCTGGGGGTCATTTCTTTGAAATCTTGCTGTTGTTGCCTGCGTCTTCTAGCAGCAGCTGCTGTGGCAGCGCGGTATGATTGCCTTCGTTGGGCTCTGTTAAGGCCACATCTGCTCTCTTTGCCTTCGGATGCTTGTCTGCGGGAAGCTGCAGACGATGTGGATTGCACGTCTTCCCACTCGGGTTCTGCTTGTTCTTTCTGCCGTGTTTGTCTTTTCCGGCACATGCTGCAGCCGAGTGATTCGCATATGTGCTGAATGCCAAACCACATCAGAGCAAGGCGGAA